CAGGACTGGCCCAGGCCCTAGGCTGCCCCCGCTGTCCCTAACGCCAGGGTGCTGTGTCCGGCAGGCACGTGATCTGGGCGTCCCGGACCTCCCCCGTGGCGACCTTCCCCGGGCTGGCCGACGCAGTGGCACGGGCCGCGGCATCCCCCCAGGACAGCGCCTGGCGCCTGGCCCACAAGCAGCTGACCATCGTCACCACGGCGATCGAGAGGGCAGCCATCGCCCTGGAAACCGTCTGACAGCACGTGCCCCGGTCCCCTAGAGTCGAGTATCTTAGGCACCCCTCCACGCTGCGCCGTACCCCTCTGCCCCCTGCACCCCTCCATCACGAGGGGGAGCAATCAATATATCTAACTGCACGGCCCAAGATCCTCCCAGTTTTGGGGGCTGCCAGCGGCTGTCAGAGTCTCGGCACGTTCTCCGCTGTCTCGATCTTCCCTGTGTCCGGAAACACGGCTGTGCGGATCTGCTGCTCCGAGTGTGTGCAGGACAGGAGCCGGCCCCCTGAGCTCCAGTGGGACAGGGGAGGAACAGCTGGACCAGCTGAGGGGGGCGCTAGTGAACCGATGTGCGTCGTCTCCCGAGGACGTGCGAGAGCTCAGGGGCGCTTGGACAGCAGAGCGTGGATGTGACGTCATGGTATCTGATGTCCCCCATATATAGATACAGGTATTGATTTACAACCCATTAGCAAAATCCAGCTCCCAGTATTGTTTCCAGAGTGACTTGGCCAGTAGCAGTACTGATGGGCCCGACGACCACCCCTTTAAAACCGTTTGGACGTAGATATGAAGCATGTGGGGCCTAAGAATTAAATGACTGCAATGAAATTGCTAAGTAGTTGTCTTTTTTTGTTTTTTAAGAGGAACACTTTTGTTTGTATTTCTGACTTCCCAATACTGTTCCACCCCCTTCCTCCCACACAGAAAACACACACACACACACACACACACACAAGCCTGTGCAAGTTCCACTTTCTGCTCCAAGCTGGAGGTTTTAATTTAAGAAACGCAGTAGTTTTCTCTCAGGAACTAAAAACAAAAAACCCAGTGCCCATTAAAGTCTGGTAAGTGTTTAGTAATTGAGTTGTGTACATAGCTGCGTAGTCTTGTGTGGCCCCCCCACCCAGTATAGTGACTTCCATTCTCAAGCACCCCAAAACTACACAGGCAGGAGGGGATTCAATTCAGTTCAGGGGCGCGTGGGAGCCTATCCCAGCAAGCATCGGGCACAAGGCAGGGTACACCCCGGACAGGGCACACACCCACTCACAGCAGGGCCAGTATTTCCCACAAGCCCATTCACCTCCGAGCTGGTCTTTGCACGGTGTGGGTGGGGGGGAATACCACCAGCACGCAAGAGAACATGCAGACTCCACACAGACAGCACCCCGAGTCCGGACTTGAACCTGGGGGGTCCCCAGAGCGACCACAGGAAATGGAACGGTGTCTGCTGAGCTAATGGTGTGGTAGAGGGACCCCTACAGCGTCGAAACTCGGGAAGGGAGTTATCCGTCAGTTTTTCAGCATGGAATAAACCGATCACTTGTTCCTATCCGTCAGGATTGCAATCAGACCACGGGGGGGGGGGAGAAATTAAGGAATGTTGGGTATTCTTTATTATTTAAATCCTGGCAAACGCCAAAAAAAACGCTTCAAGCAGACGTGGGCGTGCGGCGGAGCGCCGGGAGCCGGAGATCGGAGGAACGCGCCATCCGGAACCGCAGCGTGGGTAAGGACACCGATCCCGGGCAGCCACGTGTATAATACAGGCCCCCCCCCCCACATATTGAACATCCCGTCAGTTACCACGCCAACCCCACTGCAGAGTCCCCCACCCCCCCTGGGATCTGACCCAGAGCTCCATGCTGCCACCCAGTGGTGAGTGTGGGTATCACACTTGTGAGGTCGACGTGATAAATGTGTTTTGTGCACTATCGCCCACCACCCCCTGTGTCTTCATGACAGCGTCCGGCTCGCTGGTGCCATTCCTGCAGGGCAGAGTTGCTCGGGACCTGGGGGGGGGAGACTTCGGAGTCAAAGAGGGGGTTCCCCAATGCTGATGCTCGAGGGCAGTTGTGCACTTTCAGTGTCTCGGGGTGTCCCGATGACCTGAGGAGAAGTGGTTGGTCTAATTGGCCTTGCAGAGGTATTTTTGGAGAAGGGGGGGGGGTGTTTATTTTTTTTTTTACGGGGTTGCTGGAGGGTCGGTCCACTTCCTGGAGGGGGCGGGCGGTAGGCCGGTCACTCCCGGCCGAGCTCCTGGGGGCAGCCGGGCGATTTGAAGGCCTCGGGGATCTCGCTGTCCAGCTTGCAGATGACCTTGTAGATGCCCTTCTTCCAGGACGGGTCCCCGTCCCGCCCGCCGCGGATGGCGCTGAAGAACTCGCGCAGCGTGACCTCCGCCACCTCCAGGAATCGGCTGGGCACCTGCACTCCCACACACGCACACAGGGGGGCGCCGTTACTCACGGGCACGCCGACCGGCCACCTGCAGAAAGCCTTCTCTCTGACCTCTCTTCCCCTCCCTCATGCTGCCTCACTTTCTCTCGCCATCAGTGAGCCACTGAAGCCCAGACGCACCCAAGACCCTCAGCATCTATACTGCAATCAGTCTCGGCATCTGTACTGGCGTAGCATGCCTTTCAGTAGCTATACTCATATCAGTACCGGTGTGTTGTGATGATTAATACTGGTATCGGTGTCAGTATCAGTGCTGGTGTCAGTATTGGTGTGTTGTGGTGAACAGGGCTGGTGTCAGTATCGGTGTGTTGTGGTGATGAACAGTGCTGGTGTCAGTATCGGTGTGTTGTGGTGATGAACAGGGCTGGTGTCAGTATCGGTGTGTTGTGGTGATGAACAGTGCTGGTGTCAGTAT